GGCCCGGCCCGCGAGGGTGCTTACCCTGGCGAGCCGCATGCCGAACGTTGCCGACCCCTGTTCTAGGGCCTTGAACTTGCGTAGTTTACACCTGTGCAAATTTTATATAAACACAACTATTTTATCTAGCATTTTATCCCTAAGCCCACTTTGCACCAGTTTAAATAAGTACACAAAAGTAATGGTGAATCAGTTCCCTAAAGTAGTTCTTTATCTCTCTCGAAAGTGGGTATAAAACTCTGCCATCCTGTTGTGGTAGCAATTTATATCCACTTCACACATATAGTAAATTATTATATTTAAGAATGGTCATATTGAGTCAGACCAACAATTCATTTGGCCCAGTATCCTTTCTTCCAAAAACAGCCAATGCCAGATGCTTCAGAGGAAATGAACAGACCAGGACAATCATCAATTGATCCATCCTGTTGTCCACTTTTGGCAGTCAGAGGCTTAGGGGCACCCAGAGCATGGGGCTGCATCCCTGACCATCTTGGCTAATAGCCATTAATGGATCTATCCTCTATCAACTTATTCAATTCTTTTTTGAACCAGTAATAGTTCTGGCCCTCACAACATCCCCTGGCAATGAGTTCCACATGGTACAGGTCAGTGGAGAATCAGTCCTATAGGATCTGATAATGAGAAGTTGTACATTTCCTGAAGTGATTATTTTTATATCAGAGATCTGCATGGAGACTAACCGTCCTACTTGATCTGTTAACTTTGCAGGTCTCTCACAATAATATAAGTATAAGGTGGATAGAAAGCTGACTAGATTTTCGTGCTCAATGGGTAGTGATCAACAGTTCGATGTCTAGTTGGCAGCCGATATCAAGCAGAGTGCCCCAGGGGTTGGTCCTGAGGCTTGTTTTGTTCAACATTTTTATTAATGATCTGGATGATGGGATTAATTGCACCCTCAGCAAGTTTGCAGATGACACTAAACTGGGGGTGAGAGGTAGATATGCTGGAGGATAGGGATAGGGTCCAGAGTGACCTAGACAAATTGGAGGATTGGGCCAAAAGAAATCTGATGAGATTCAACAAGGACAAGTGCAGAGTCCTGCACTTAGGAAGGAAGAATCCCATGAACCGCAGGGGACTGACAGGCTAAGCAACAGTTCTGCAGAAAAAGATCTGGGGATTACAGTGGACAAGTAGCTGTATATGAGTCAGCAGGGTGCCCTTGTTGCCAAGAAGGCTAATGGCATTTTGGGCTGTATAAGTAGGAGCATTGCCAGCAGATCGAGGGAAGTGATTATTCCCCTCTGTTCGGCAGTGGTGAGGCCACACCTGGAGTATTGCGTCCAGTTTTGGTCCCCCCACTACAGAAGGGATGTGGACAAATTGGCGAGGGTCCAGCAAAGAGCAATGAAAATGATTAGGGGGCTGTGGCACATGACTTATGAGGAGAGGCTGAGGGAACTGGGATTATTTAGTCTGCAGAAGATAAGAGTGAGAGGGGATTTAATAGCAGCCTTCAACAACCTGAAGGGGGGTTCCAAAGAGGATGGTGCTAGGCTGTTCTCAGTGGTGGTAGTGACAGAACAAGAAGCAATGGTCTCAAGTTGCAATGGGGGTGGTCTAGGGTGGATATTAGGAAACACTATTTCACTAGGAGGGTGGTGAAGCATTGGAATGGGTTATCTAGGGAGGTGGTGGAATCTCCATCCGTAGAGGTTTTTAAGGCCTGGCTTGACAAAGCCCTGGCTGGGATGGTTTAGTTGGTGTTGGTCCTGCTTTTAGCAGGGGATTGGACTAGATGACCTCCTGAAGTCTCTTCCAACCCTAATATTCTATGATTCTAAGTATTAGCTCCCCTTAACACTGTCTGCCAGACCCAATACAGATCCTGTGTGATAGGACACAAGCTTTGTTCCAACAATCTGCAACATTGAGAACCAGGTAGCAGCAGGATCTGCATGTCCAGAATCCCGAATAAAGAACTTCCTTTGTGTTTGCTACATGTGTGTCCTTTTTTCTCTCTTGTAATGGACACTACCAATACAATGAAATCTGTAGCAGCTGATCATCCTTTGTTAGGAAGCATAAAGAGCAGTCCCCTAGAAAGTAAAATATGCGAAGATATTTGTTCAGTAGAAACACATGGTGAGTGAGTTTAAATTAAATTTGAATTTCAAATTTCTAATTCATTATAGTTTTTTTTATTGTGCCCACAGTTAAATACAACCACAGCCTTTAATCCTCCTCCTCCCATCACTTCTGTGTACAGTTACCACGCAGAACATTTAAAACTATCCAACTATAGTCTCCTTCATCTGTCAAAATAAAATTATTCTGGCACTATAGCAGCAGTGGCTTCTGGAGATGAAGGTGTGTGGGGAGAGGCGGGGGGAGAATAGAGGATTTCCTTTTTGCACAACAAAGCTTGTATTTAGCATTCAGTGACTGAGTCAGATGATATAATAATGAGGATTGATTAATTTGTTGATATAAATGTCAGATCATTTATGTCTATATTTTTAATTTATCCTACTGCACTTCAAATTCTTGCAATATTTACATGATTTATTCCACAATGTAAATGCTGCAGTATTACATTAACTAGTATGAGCTTCATGAACTTTACCTTTGTGAAGAGTCACTGGGAGCTGGATTCACAAGAGGACTTGGGTGCCTAAATCCCAGAATTGGGACCCACTGGGATTCACAAAATACTGCTCAGCAACCCCCAAACCCTGTAGGTGCTTAAAATCACCCTGCACCTAATTTTTTGGCATAAAAGTTCCCTAAGGCACCTTTGCTTCTGCTTCTGAACATACACAGTACTAGGTGCCCCATGCTAGCTGTCCAGATACCCAAGCCCTAGAAGAGCAAGGCACAAACTGGGGGAAGATAGGTATTCCTCTGCCTAACTCAGCTGCAGGGCCCAATCTGGTGAACAGGTTCAGACCTTGCCTGCTAGATTTGGCACCTCTAGGTGAGCTTACCCAAAACAGGGGGTGGGGAAGAGTACCTCCCTCTTAACCTTTAGCCCAGCAGTGAGTGTACTCACCTGGGATGTGAGAGATCCCAAGTCCAAGCTGTCTCTCCACCTAAGAGGGAAAAGGGATTTCAACTGGAGTCTGCTGCCTCTCAGGTGACTGCCTTAGTCACTGAGCTATGGGATATTTTTATTCAGGGCTCCCTTAGCTCCTGTTGAAGATGTTCCACTGTGGATACATTTTTAAAAAGTCATTGGAGCAGGAGGTCTGGATCCTGGGCCTCCTGCATCCCAGGTGAGAACTCAAATCACTAGACCACAGAATTATTCTCACACTTTCTTGCTCTTTTTGGCCCAGTGTTTAATCCACAGTTCAACAGTTTCAATACTGAAAGAATCACTGGGCCAAATACCACTGCCTATTCCACAGGGATAGCAGACTCCTGACAGAGTGATCTGGAGATAGCTCGGTGAGGAAAGTCTCATGGAGTTTTCCTCTGCTGCTGGCCCCTATTTTAACTTCCCCGATATATAAACAGAAAGATGTCATGTTCTCTCATTTACCTAATCTATTGTTTGCCCCCCACCCACCCACCAGTAGGAACACTAGTGCCAAATCCTGCAGTCCTCTCTCAGGCAAGACTCCCAATGACATCAATGGGAGCCTTGCCTACGTGAGGACCACCGGATTAGGCACTTGGTCTTTTCAGATTGCTGCATATTTGCACGTTGTTTGGGATGAACAGTCTCTACAGTGCAACTCAGTGAAAGTCTATTTCTGAAGTTTGGTATGTTTTTGCTGTTTTGAAAAGGGAAACATCTGGGAACAAGTTTTGCGAATACCCTTCCTCCTGGAAATAATCAACGCTGTCCCCTTTATCATTACAGTAAGTATCTGAATTAAGTGTCGGTGTCCATTCCTGGGTGGGATTATGGGTCTGCTCCAACACACACTGAAGCGAGTGGAAGTCTCTATTGACCTGTATGAGTGATGAGCAGGCCCTGTTGGAGAGGCTAATTTAGCAAACTATGTTTTTCTTTTTGAAAAAAAAATATATATTTAAAAAAGTCACACAGCCAACAATGCAATGAGCAAGATAAACCAGTTAGATGTAAAAGCAGAGAAAACTTGCATAGTAAAAATGTTATCTACACTGTAAACTACCTATCATATATATTATGCAGAAAAAAGTAATATAGTTACCAGTTTTTACATCAGGAGTACACAATTTTATAAACACTGTATTGGATGTAGTTTCTTGGACAGAAAAGCTGTTAAGATGTATTTGTGTTTATTTCCCCCTCCTCAGATTTTCTGGCCTGCACTAAGAAACCTATTTATTCCAGTATTTTTAAATTGCTGGCTTGCCAAACATGCTTTGGAGAACATGATTGTAAGTATGACCAAAAATAGTGAGGCAAGAATAACTTTAAAAAAAAAATATCCATTTCCGAGTCTGCTGACTTCAGCAAGGCTGTTGCTTTCCGGTCAGGGAACTGCACTGGACAAATTTATCATGGGATAATCACATTCACTATTCAATCATGGAAATGCTTCTACATTTTGCTGTATCACCATTTCGTATCAAATTTGGAAATAGTTTCCAATAGTTTCCTCAGTTTGTGGAAACTGGCACATCACTGACTTCCAACAAGGAAAGTTCCCAGCATGGCTAACTCGTATGCCACTCACATGTAGTCTCTCCACCAGGGGTCTAAAGAGGTGCTATGCTCCAGTTACTCCTGCCTGGCATACGGAACCATTTGGGCCAGCTGATTAAATTTAGCGCAAACTCCAGGATGCTCTAAAGTATGCCAGGGTAGTCAAAGACGCAGTCACAGAAATCAGGGAACAACTGACTCCTTTGCACCATCCACTGTGCTCAGCAAATTTTAAGTGCGGTTGGGCCATTGTAGCTTATCAAAATATCATGGAACTATTGTATAGGATCAGCAGATGCATTATTTAAAAAAACATAACCAACCTGCTTTTTCTATTAATATAGAATGATCTCCATAGAGCCATTCAACGTACACAGTCTGCAATGTTTAACCAAGTTCTTATTTTAATATCCACATTGCTGTGTCTTATCTTCACCTGGTAAGTAGCAGATGTTTATTACTATGTATTACATTTTCTAATTTAAGCACATTGTATTAAAACAGATACAGTGGAATATTGTTTGTTAAGAGATAATGTTGTTCCCATGCAAGGTTTTAATTAAAAGGTGGCTTCAAGGCAGTGTTGGTGTAGTGGGGTTGGGTGAAAAGAGGGCTAGAGTTATTCTAATTCTTAGGAAAATTAGATTTGTGCAAAAACATAAATAAAAAAAATACACTACTTCTGATCTCAGGGAGAAAGTTACTCAAGTACATTGGGCCCTCTGCACAGCTCCCCAAACAACTTGAGCCCTACTGTGGGGCTATAAAAGGGAAGAGGTTGTGGCTGGAGTGGCACCTAGTGGGGCTTCTGTGTCCCTGTGCTCTGTTAAGATGCTCTCCATTCTAGCCCTCATTAGACTGGTGAGACAGGTCAGGGAAGGGTCCACAGTATCAATACTTTGGCAACTCCAGTGGCTCAATACTCCCATCAAAGGGGGTGCAGAGAAACTGATAACAGTTCAGCTCATGGGTTCGAATAGCACCTGCAGTAAGGTAGAACTACACAACAGTGGTCTACCTAAGTATACTGACTCCTTTCCAACAGCAGAGCTCCCTGTCAAACCCTTATTTCTCAGGCTGTTAGGAGGTGGTAGAGAAGGGGCAGTGAATGGGGAGGACCCTGTGCAGAGCAACTATAGTTCTATCATTATTTACTGTGCTAGCCAGAGTGCCTGTGGTGTCACTGCATTGATAAAGCTCAGTCTGTCATTCTGGAGACACTGATTTGATTTTTTCCTGCTTTATTTCTCCAACCTAATTCTTCTGCTAGCCACTGCTATATGACTTTCACCCTTTGGTCAGGATAGAGTAACACATGGCCTCTTTTAGTTCTGCCATTAATGTTTGTTCTTTAATCAGAAGAATTTGTGCTCTCTAGTGGCTCAAGGAATATTTCTATTTTTACTCCCTTCATTTACAGCCACATAATTGCATGAGGTCAGATTTTTTGGCTGAGTAAGGACTGCACCATTTGACCCACACTGTACAAAATTAGGGCCCTACCAAAAATCAGCCCACCCCCATGAAATCTGATCTCCTCGGCTGCTGGGAGCCTGGGGCTCTGAGTCCTAACTGCTAGTCCAGCCACACTGAGGAGGGATAGGACTTGTCCTTTCCCTGTATAACTGCTCTTGGTGGGGAGATCAGATCCACCTCCAGAGGCAGCACGGAGGGAGCTGGGCTGTGTGCCTCCGTCTCCTCTCCCTCCCACCCCCGCATTTCCTGCCGCAGCTCTGGGCGCCGAGCTCCTGGCTTCCCCTTCCTCCCCCAGCAGTTCCTGCTGGGGTGGGGGCTTCTGCTCCCAGTGGCTGCAGCTGGGACAGACTGGGCTCGGGGCCTCCCCCCGCTCCAGCCAGAGCTGGGGGCTTCTGCTCCCCATTGCTCCAGCCGGAGCTAAGGGCACCCCCCACCGTTCTTCCACCCTATAGTTTCTTCTGGGGCTGGGGCACCCATTTTTCAAGTGGACTCCCAGATTGGCCAGGGGCCCCTGCCTTAATCTGTCACTGGCCTGGACTAGCAGCCCCCGGCTAGGGCACTCCTAGTAGCGTGGGGGAGATCCTACCCACCTCCACCTCCCAGAATCTCCTCTAACTGCAGGAAGCTCAGAGGCTGCTGCCTACGCAGCACAGAAATGAGGGTGACAATCTTGGGACACCCTCCCCCCCGGTTACAATACCGTGAAATTTCAAATATAAACATCTGAAATCGTGAAATTGACCAAATGAAAACCCTCTGGCCATGAAATTGACCAGTATGGACCCTGAATTTGGTAGGGCCTATACATAATGCTGTCACTGTAATACCAGGACAGCCAATATTGCATCTTCAGCCACAGTTAATGTATAATATAAAAGAATCTGTTGCAAGCTGTGCTTTAATATTTGTTACTGTCCAACATTTCACTCAAGTGAAAGACAAAATACAAAGTATGCATCCACTTCACAGGGAAGCAAGCTCTTTCTGGAAATAAAGCAGTTTCCCGAGAGCTTGCAGTGTCCCTGGTTGAACAAGTATATGAGCTCCATTTGAAATGGAACATTGTGTTCGGGTCCAGGCATTTTGGTACCGACAGTAAATCATGTAGAAAATGGCAAGCTGACCTACAGTAATTGTGTCTGGTTTCTACAGTTGCAGATACAGACTCATTATAGATCATTATATGCTGACCTAGTGTTGACCCTGCTAGACAGAAAAATAAGGTAAATAAAAATGAAAAATACCCAATAACAATTGCTAAATGAAGCCCTTTGGCAGTGACTTGTAGTATTTGCTGACATCATTTGCCTAAGATGAGTCTTGTGTTGACCAGGAAATTGTTTATATTATTTATTTGAATGTACAGTATTGAGATTTATTTATTTTGGGGTAGCCATTCATATACGAGTTTACAGTGTAGAGCAGCACTGTAATGACTACTGAAATATTCACACACCATAGACAGCATGCCAAACTCATCTCCGGGGTAAGGTCTTCAGTTATGTTATATCCTTGGTGCATTAGAGCCAGTCTTTCTTTAGGAGCTGCCCTTATTTATGGCTCAAACAGAGGCCCTGCTGCAAAGCAACAGAGGGGAGTAAAATGCCCCATTGTGGGCCAAACCCTTTCTTGGAGAGAGTTCAAAAGCAGAAAAGAGAAGCTGCCACCAGGCTGCCATTTCACATCCTATACAGAAACAGGCAGTGGCAAAAGCGGCTCTGTCCCCAAATGCACTGGGCCATGTACCAGAGCCAACACAGAACCCTTCTGCAGACACAGATTACGCCCCACCAATCCCTAGGATGGAACAGGAAGAATGAACCAAATAGCTCCCCCTTAAGGGTTAATTACAATACAGCCCTTCGTACCTGCAGATTTATAGGTACTAAACACTTGTAGTTCCCATTTACTTCAGTGGGAATTGTGGATGTTTAGCACTTCTGAAAGTCAGGCCACTTGTCTTTACCATGCAGTGTATTAGAAGCCATGCTTATTTAGAAGATGCATGAGGATAAATAAATCCAAACAAGATATAGTAATTACGGTTTGAGGTTTTTTTCTTACTTTACTCTGAAGATGAAATAACAAAATAGCTTCAGCTGGTACCCTGATAACCATTACAATTTCTGGGAAGTCAAACCTTTGCTTCATAACTGATTTAAAAGTATTGATGTATTACTTTACTGGTTGAGAAAAATGTGAGGTTGAAACCATATTTTATGCTCAATACATTTATGGGTTACATTCATAGAATCATAGGAATGAAGGACCGGGGGGGGGGGGGAAGTGGAAAAGTATGGTGGGGGTGCTGAGAGCCATTGAACCAAACTGTAAACCCTGTATAGGATGGAAACCACTTCAAGCCAGGGGGTGTGGCAGCCCTCTCCCCCAGCACCTCAAGTTCCAGCACCGATGTGTAGGGCTGGAAGGGACTTCAAGAGGTCATCCAAGTTCAGCCCCCTGCAGTGAGGCAGGACTATGTAAACCTGGATCATCCCTGACAGATATTTGTCTAACCTGTTCTTAAAAACTAATGACTGGGATTCCACAATCTGTTTTGGTAATCTATTCCAGGACTTAAGTAGCCTTACAGTTAGAAAGGTTTCCCTCCCCCCCCCCCCGAATATCTAAACTAAATCTCCTTTGCTGCAGATTAAACCAATTATTCTTTGGCCTACCTTCAGCAGACATGTAGAACAATTGATTGCCATCCTCTTTATAACAGGTCTTAATATATTTGAGGACTTGTCAGGACCCCTCCCCCACCCCCAGTCTTCTTTCCTTGAGATTAAACATGCCCAGTTTTTTTAGCTTCCTCATAGCTTATGTTTTCCAAACATTTATCATTTATTGTTGCTTTCTGCTAAACTCTCATTTCTCCATGTTTTTCTTTTAATGCGGCACCAACACCTGGACATAGTACTCCAGACAATGCCTCACCAGTGCTGAGTACAGAAGAACAATTACCTCCTGCATCTTGCATATGGCACTCCTAACACACCCCAGACTGATATTAGCCTTTTTTCAAAACTGCATCACATTTTTGGTTCATATGCCATTTGTAGTCTACTATAATTCCCAGTACTACTGTGTAACCCTTTATTCCCCCTTTTGTTGTGCATTTGATTTTCCCTCCAAACGATAGTGCTTTGCACTTGTCTTTTTTGAGCTTCGTGTTGCTGATTTCAGACCATTTCTCCAATTTGTCAAGGTTATTTTGAATTCCTGTCTTCCAAAGTGCTTGCAACTTCACCCTATGTGGCGTCATCTGCAAATGTTATAAACTTATTCCTCATCCCCTCCCCACCCCATGTTGACTATTCCTTATAACCCTATTATCCTCTAGGTGCTTACACACCAATTTTAAATAAAAAACTGTTCTAGTATCTTTCCAGGAATTGAAGTTAGTTTGACTGATCTAATTCCCTGAGTCCTTTGTTCCTCAGAATGTTTGCTCTTCTTTAGCCCTCTTGGATCTTACCCATCTTCCATGAGTTCTCAAACATAACTCAAATGGTTTCAAGATTCTTAGATTTCAATTAGTTCCTTAAGCCTAGGGTGAATTTCATCAGGGCCTGATTACTTGAATACATATAATTCATCTAAATATTCTTTAATCTGTTATTTCTCTATTTTCCCTTGTGTTCCTTCCACCTTGTTAATATTAATTGAGTTAAGCAGCTGGTCATAATTGATCTTTTTAACAAGACTGAAGCAATATAAGCACCTGAGCCTTCTTGGTATCTGGTATTCGCTCTCCTTCCCCTCTAAGTAGTGAGCTTATACTTCCCTTCATGTTTCTTTTGTTCCTGATATGTTTATAGAACCTCTCCTTACTGCCTCTTTTGTACCTTAGCCTTTCTGATTTTATCCCTGCATGCATGCCGAGCTATTCTTTTGTACTCATCCTCATTAATTTGACCATGTTTCAACTTTTTATAGTGTTCCTTTTTGATTGTCAGG